GCACAGCCACTGGCTGCCTTCGATCTCTTGTCCTTAGCCTCACTGGTCTGTAGGAGCATTGCTTGCACCACTTCACCAGTGCAACCACCACACTCTGGGTCATAAGACCAGATTGCGCTGCCCTCATACTGGCAGTGCTGGGCACATGTCGCTGTACCAGTAGCGGCAGCTGTCGCCGGTGCTGGTGCAACACAATCCTTGCAGTCTGGATCATACTTCCATACCATAGCCCCCTCGTACTGGCAATGGCTGGCGCAGCCAGTCAATTCAGTAGTCTTCTCATCCTTCATCTGCACAAGCATCGTCTGAATCAAAGCTGGAGAGCAGCCCTTGCATTCAGGATCGTACTGCCAAACTGTGCTGCCTTCATATTGGCAGTGACTTGCACAGGTAGCACTAGTCTGAATCTTGGGTGTGGCTGAGGCACAGTCCTTGCAGTCGGGAGTGTTTGCCTGCAGGGCTGCGCCAATGTAGTGGCAGTGGCTGGCGCATTTTCTGTCGGACGTGTCTGTTTCCAAAATTTGTTGCTGGCCACGCAGCTGTCTCAGCTCCAAACTGCACTCTGCTGTTGTGCACACCTCATCACTTGAGAGCGCCACTTCAAGCACCTCACCTTTGCTCAGGGAGGTGAGCGTAAACACGAGTGCAGTCACAGCGCAAACGCCGGCCATTTTCTAAGCCTATGTACAGAACGCTTTTGGCTTGGGTCACAAGAGCCAGCAGTGGCTATCGGAAACACCAAAGCACGAATTCCATGATCTTGTGACCGGCCACCAAAAATTGAGCGACATGCATCGGCAGGTCTCCTTGCCACCAGCCGTCACCAAGAAGGTACAGCGTGGCCTAGGGCTCTGCAATTGGTCTACTCCCGTGTTGGAGACGCTGAGCAGCTGGCTTTCGCGTGCGAAATACCTCAGCAGGTCTGAAAAGATGCAACCTGGACGGCCGCAAAAGAATGGAGTATGCGCTAGCAATGCAGCCCAAACACGCAACTGGAGAAAAACTCCGGCTCGTAGAGGGCATTTTTGCGGAACCTCTACTAGCAACCAGAAAACGCGGGGTTTGAGGCAACATCTTTTGCGTACTTTGCTTCCCTTGAGGGCATTCACTTCTACAGGCCGGCCCTGAAACAACAGTTGCTCGCACATGCGAGCGCGTGCAAGTGCGCGCTTTGGCTTTTACATACTATTGAAAAGGGTTCCATACCTCTCCAACACCCGAAAAACTGCAAGCAGATAGCATCACATTACACAAACGGACCTTTATAAGACCATAAACGGACAGTGACTGGAGCTAGTTTGCAACTACGGGCATGCTCAAGGTCTGTGGTGGGAGAGAATCAAAACGCACGCACACTTCAGGCGGGAGAAATCAGAAGGGCGGTTTGGAGAGCGACGATGCGTGGTTGGGCGGCAGGAACGGAGCTACGCCTGCATCTGCATTGGACCACGGCGGCAGTGCCGGCTTCTCTTCCGAAGATCATGGCCGTTCAAAATACTATGTTTATTACTTATATTTGCCAAACTTGCCTTTTCTCCTTCCTATAACTTCGAACATGACGTGGGTGCTTGGGCAAACTGCTCAGGCGCATGCCAGCCAGACATTGAAACAGCAAATCTGGAGAAACCACAAGGCAGCATGTGGGGGTTTTCCAATATTCCTTTTCCCAAAAGCAACCCTTTCGCCGCCCTTTCGCGGACCTTTCGCCTGCAGCACTTTCTTAAGATGTGCATTAAACCTTATCCAAATACTATTTACACGTCCTGTATTTGACGGATTTGTTGAATGCTTGGAAGTTCTGTTGGGGTCCTATAGTGCCAAGGGCCTAAATAATTACGTATGTCGTAAACCGTCCTAAACCCACTCCGCGAATTTACAACCTAAACTAGAAACTCAGTGATGTCCTCACCCTGTGTGCGCTGGCTAAATTGTTTTCTGGCTTGCAAGGCGCTTCTTCGCATGAAGGCCTGCAGTTAAACATTCTTCGAAACAAGAAGCCGGAATTGTCATAAAACCACGAATGGTCAACTACTTTTCCTTTCGCGCACCTTTCGCGAAAATCCGCTCTGCAACATTTGACATTGATGGCCAGTGATAATTACTGATGATGAAAACGATAATATTGGTAGCACTTCTGTACTGGGAGTTGCGGGCGTGCCACATTGCAGCAAGTGCCCGCACGTGTTTTTTTTAGAAAAGCTTGGGTGTGAAAGCCAGAACAATCTTGTCAAGAAAAAGCCGTATGCGTGCGCAACGGTCCAACGCTGCAAGAGAAGTTGTTAAGACTGACTGAACCTTTCACGAACCTTTCGCCGCCCTTTCGCGAGCTTTCGCCCACAGAGTTTTTGCATCATGCGTCCCCGTGCCTATAAAATTTTAAACATGGGTTTTTGGACGATCCCCACATCTCTATGGGTAGTTCCCAAAAT